ATTAAGCGTCTAAGTATAATTATGTATGAAAACGGAAAAATTATTATTTTGAGGTTATCTCCTTAATTATTGATTAAATCAAAAAAAATTGTTGACAAAGTTTGTTTAGAATTGTTTCAGGAACAATTTTTGTTAAAACAATTTTTTTCTAACTTGAAATTTTAATTTCCCACTGAACAGTATGCTGTTTTTTTAATCAGAACGAGTGGAGGGGGGAAATCGTTTTGTTACAAAAGTTCCGTGCCCTAATTATTACATTTAGAGGTGAGGAAATTTGTGAGTATTTAAAAAGGCAAAAAAATATTAAATCGTCGATATTAAAAAGAAGACAATTTATTAACTATTATGATTATAAAATAATATATTATTGTAGTGCAGGATTTTTTATGATTTTTTTTAAGAACAAGACGACTTATACTTATTAATAATAATTATTTTTTTACGTTTCGGTTTCGTGTCAAGATTTTTTTCGGATTACAAATAAATCGAATGAGTTGTGCATAAAAATATGATATTCTTATTGCCTCAGCTGTGTAAGTAATATTAATATTATTATTGATAATTTAAAGGATCAACTTAAAACGAGAAATTAACGCGGATTAAAATTCATTAATAAAAGTGGGGGCTTATTGGCTGTGATATGAACTGCCACTTAAAAAAAATTACTTTTTGGTGTCGCACATCGACTTTTTTCTTTTCTTAATTAACCAAGAAAAAATTAATTAATTAAAACGAACACACGATCGATTAAAAAATCTTAAATAAATAATAATTGCATACATATCCTTTTTATTGTTGTTACTGACTGCGCTATTTTTAATATAAATAAAATATTGTTCTTTGTTCTTTAAAAATGTGATGTACTAAGTACGATATATAACGATATATAGTGTATTATTCTTGTAATAAATAATTAAATAGTAATAATAATAATAATATAGTTTATAAGTTCGATGAAGGTGGAAAGATGGAAAAAGATCACGTGTGAATTTAATTAAAGGATTAAAAAGATTTTTTTTTGTTTGGGAGAAAACAAAGTCGATGATGCCTCACTATAACCAAAAAATTAAAAAGCTAATAAGAGAAAATTATTAAATATTTTTCTACATTATAAAACATCTCCCCCAAAAAAAATCCGCAAAAATTGTGCCTCTGCTTATTTAAATGATTTATTTCAAAAATTAAATTAAATATTAAAAGAGAGAGATAGAGAGACGAATCCGTAGCGAATACATTTAGGTTTGTTTAAATAAAAAAAAAAAATAATTGGCGCAGACGTCACTATTCCCCTCCTCAAGCTTAAAAAGCCCTTTATTATTATTATTTTTTTTTCTTAACTTACAATTAGAAACTTAGAAGTCTTGTTTATTTATTTAATTATTTTTTTTTTTAATATTTTAGTTTAAGTGCTTAAAAAAAACGTTTTATTAAGATATGAACAAGAGAAGAGAGATAGAAAGAAAGAAAGAGAGATGTTATTCATTTTTTATATATTTTATAGGATAAATAAATAGGTATAATAACTATATTATGATATATTTTGTGAGTGACTTTTTTTCGTATACTATTACTATTACTATCAAATTTTTTTTTTGTCCTACGTATTTTATTTTTATTTTTTTTTGTATAGATTTACTTATTACTAGCGAAAAAAAAATAAAAATAATTCAAAAAAAAAATGATACAAGGTGTTTAAAACCTGTATATTTAGGGTCTGCGCCAGTTGCCTTATTATTTTTTAATATAATTCTTTAAATATTATTTTTTAAATATTATTCTTTAAATATTATTTTTTAAAATATTATCTTTTCACCAGGACGACTTTGTTTTTTAATTTTATACGTAACGGTGTACATAGATTTGTTGTTTACTAGCTATATTATTATAAATAACACGATTATTTTATTTTTTTACATATATATTTTTGTGAGAAAATATTTAACTGATGATGACTCTATTATTTACGTTACTGAGCTATTTTTTTTTTTTTATTAAGGATTAGTACAAGGTTTCGCGAGCATTTTTTTTATAAAGAGAGAAAAAAAATAATTAAAAAAAATATAATTTAAAACAAAAAAAAAAAAAACGGACCTCGAAATAACTAAATAAATAAATAATTAATAAATTAAAAAGAAATAAATACGTCGAGGACTATCACCATTTACATTTTTTTTACTCGAAGAGATAGTTTAATGAAAATAGTATTTTTGATTATTATTATATTATATTCTATATTATATTTATATTAATATTTTATGTTTTTTTGAGAAATGAACCCAGTTGTATTGTATTATTATTTTCTTTTATTATTATTATTTTTTTTTTTGATATAGTTACTACAAAAAAAAAGTGTTCTCTAATAATTTCTTTCAGTTATTTCTATTTCACGATTTCTGTGTGATTTTTATTTTTTTTTTTTTAATTTTTTTTGTACTCGAAACACTCGGGATTTTTTTACTGTTTAGTAACTATTTTTTTGAAGCCCATAAAGTCCTGGGAAGTCGCCGGTTTTAGTTAATAAGAATTAAAAGCGAGTAAAGGACTGCTTAAAGACTACTCTATTTTTTTGTTTTATTTTTATTTTTTAAATAATTTAAAGAAAACGAAACGAAAAAAAAAAAATTAACCGAGACTTTACCAGGACAATGAGCGAGTTTAGTTTATATTATATCCTTTTTTATATGACTTTACTACCAAATATTGCTATATAATAAACAAAAAAATCAGTTTATATTTTTATTTTGTTTTATTTTTTTTTTAATATTGTTTTCCTTTGTTTAATTAATTTAATAAGGGTAAGTAATTATTATTTCATTTTTTTTATAACATTTTTTGTGTTGTATAATCTTAAAATTAGGCAAAATAGAATCTTTGAAATTTAATAAAGTGCTGCTTTACACTAATAACCAATAAATTTAAAAAAATTTTATAGAAAGCCTTATAACTTCGTACAATATAACTTATATATTCTTCTATAATGCTATAAAGTTTCATTTCTTAATTCCAAACTGTCTCGGAGAAATAAATTTTTTCTTAACTTAATTTTTAAGAAACATCAAAT